GTCCCAGAAGGAAAATGGCAGTCAGGCACAACAATGTCATTTAGGTTGATTAAAAGTGATATACACACACTTCCTCCTTCACAGATATTTTGATGTATCATAGATGATTGTCTTCATCGCATCACATACCCACTGTACTGTGATTACTTTTTGATTCCCACCATTGCAGGAGGACGTGCATTTCTTTTTCCCCAAAGTGTAAAACTTCTACTGACAAACAAAATGTTTTCCAGGTTTGTATTTGTGTCGCTGAATGTGCCGGTTTGTGTGTGTGTGTGTGTTTGTGTGTGTGTGTGTGTTTGTGTGTGTGTGTGTCCACATGCCAAAGCAAAGAGTAACTGCTGTTGCGGTCTAAGCTGCCTGGCACTCATTTCATAGCTGAAATGATGACTCACTGACTATCACATCAACACCAGCACTAACAGGATTTCTCTTTAGTTTCTTTTATCATGAAAATCTCAGCAGCATAGCCAACATCTAATATTTTATATTTTTCATGCATTAGTTTCAACGTTTTAATGCAAAAGCAATTGCAATCATTATTTTGGGAAATAGCTATTTTATATTTTAACACCTTACTGCCACTTAACCCTTGTCAATATAAAACAGATACGTTTATCTTGTCTAACGGCTGAGAGAAGCACATGAAACATGTTTAACATGAGAACCCCTCATTGCATGTAGGGTTTTTTAGACATCTCTGGAGGTCCGTGATGTGACACATTCAGGGATGTCAAATATGAAATTGTGAAAAAAAAACAATCTCACGTTAGTTAAGATGAAGGTTTCTGACAGATAAGGGCCAAATCAAGTCCTGCAGCTAAATTATTTGCTATCCTGAGCTATCTGCAAAGGGCAGTGTTAACGAGTGAGAACTCAAAGCTGTAAGTGACATGAAACCACTAAAATCTTTGTGTCATATTGATAATTTCAGTGGATAGCTCAACTATAGTTTCTGTACCTTAGATGCTTCTTACACTTCTAATAATTCTTGCAAGCTGTTTTTATACAGCACTGTGCAAACGTCTTTAGCTACCCCTCTCTGACTGCTTTTAGTTCTGTTCTCTGTCAGGATGATCCCACACTGCTTCAATAATGACGAGGTCCAGGCTCAATCCATCGCTAACAGTGTTACAGTATGTTTTTGTGTATCAACTTTTCTCTCTGTTTCTGTTCTTTTAGAATGGCCCCTTCTGATAATGGTCAGGCACAAGGAATGAACTGATTAAAGTTATTGAAAAGGCTCTCACACAAAAAAACGCTTTTAAAGACCTTCTGAAAGTCTGGATAATTGTTTGTTAAGACCACTTTTAGAAATTTACAAAAAGTCTGGATCCTTTGAAGATAAATATAAAAAATAAGAGGTTGTTTTAGACTTTTGTACAGTACTATATGTGCCCAAACAAAAAGAAAGTGGGATTTAAATAGTTTGTTTCAGAGAGAAGACGCCTGAGGAGCATCAGTGAGGCTATTTTATAACACAATATGTGTGCGTTATGTTTATGGAATGATTTGTGTTTGTATCCTACTGCAGAGGCAGCTCCAAATGAAGGTATGCATATGAATGTTTCATGCCACTGTCATTCTCATTACTAATTTGATGCAGACATCTCTCTGTGTATGTGAATTAATCAATATGTAATTTTGTTTAATTTGCTGTGTGTCACTGGGAATAAATGGGCTGCTGAGTAATCCAATAATGACCCACAGCACAAGACTGATGTGTGTTTGTGTGCGTTAACATGCCTGAGTGGATGCGTCCCTGAGTGTGTGCATGCGTGCGAGGGTGACTTTCTCCCAAATTAGCCACTGAGAGAGCGAAAGTGTGTGCATTTCATCAGACACACCCATACACATATATACACACACCCGCAGTCGTGTTTCAGTCATTTCAAAAGACATTATATTGACTTACCTTCATTTCCTAGAGTCTCACCCTCATTAACACACACTGCCTGCTTTATAGCCAACAGGAAGACCATTCACTTCCTGTTCTAATCATCTGCTCTGCTGCTGTTAACAATTCCTCATCAGCCACAGGAAATGATTAGCAGGTTGTCTACAGTCATGGGTACACCAGCTTCTCTCCCCCCCTGCTGTTCACACCTTTGAACAAGATGTCTGTACATGCTTCCTCTAAATGTGTATTCGGGGTCATATTCTGGTCTCTGAGCAAATGTGTTGGCACATTTATTCAGAAGCTGATGCCAAGACCTTATGAGACATGATAATTTTTCACTTTACACTTCCGCGTGAGTCACAATGCACTGAGCAAATTCAAAATCCTGCCAGATTTCCAAACACCTCAGCTCAAACGGCCTCTCAACATACGAGAAGCAGCCTCCGTCTGTCTGACGTCTGTGCGCCTTTAAATGTTGTGTTTGCATCTTGTCTCTGCAGCACATCCTAATAGTTCAGAGGCAGCTCTCGGTGCTGGAGGAAGAGCTGGAGGAGTTTCGCTTGGCTCTCAGACAGTACATGGAGTGCGCCTGTGCCCAGACTGGATGTTTGCAGTCAGTTTATATTCTCTTTGTTCATTTGCGTCAGGGATTTACTGCTTTTATTTTTATCCTTTCTATTTTTCACATTTTTGTAAAGGCTTGATTAAGACGGGCAGACAGACAGGTCTTGTGAAGCTGCCCTAACCTGAGACTAAAAATATTTCAGCTGCTTTTCTGGCATTAGAAACTATTTTTAACATATTGCTTGCATTTCTAATGAATTATGCAGCTTAAGGAACAGAAATCATAATGCATGTGTTTTAATAAGATTCCACTGAAATGCTGCATAAGCAAAACTAAACATCTTCTACCAGTGAAGGAAACAAAGTCACACTCTGATATAAAGACAAGAGCCTCACCTTTGACCTTTTGATAATTATGTCAACTCGTGGACCAATTAGAAGAATAAAGGTGATCTTCAATTCCAATATACATTAAATGCCCACTTTATTAGGGACACCTGTTCAACCGCTCCTTAATGCACTTCTGGACTGGTTTTCATGTAGCGCTTCTCTACTCAAGCAAATAAGGCGTTTTCTACAACATGTCCCATTCACCCATTCACACACATTCCAACCCACTATCATGGCAAAGCATGTAATAGACAGCGTGTCCATTTCCCCCTTTGCTTCAAAGTGAAATACACATGCATGAAGAAGTTGGAATAAGCTGCAGTACCAGCAGAGGGAGATAAATTATTTCAACCCAACATGAAAATAATGACAGGAAAGTGTTCAAACAGACACTGATATGTAAATACGTATTAGCCACCTAGCGTAAAATCTTTCTAGCATAAGAATGTAATGGAATGTACTGCCTCATACCTGCCTCAGTCACTTAATGACTTATTGGCTTTAAATGTATTATGTCCCTATGATGGAACTGCAGAGGGAGATAATATTATTTATATTATTTCATTTTACACCACTGTTAATGGGAAAGCCAGGAATGACACCTGTCCTCCACAAAAGCCTGAGCAGGCTTACTGCAACAAGCAGGAATAACTTGCGGCAACTTCTTCTAAACAGTAAAAATTAATACTTACTTGCACATGCAAAACAGAAAGGTCAGATGTTTGTTTAAAGGAAGATTAGTTAGAGTTATGAAGAAGGCCCAAACATATTCTTTATACGTCAAACTGTATGATTTGAACCTTTAATTAAAAAAAGTAATTTATTAAATCACTAGAGAAATATGAACATTGCTAAACTATTAATCAGCTACTAGTTCACCACTCCCCAATACTACACAGCATCCTTTGTGGCCTATATCATATGTGTATTACAGTGTAGTAGTGAAATTTAAGCTTGAATAGTGACTTAAATCTATATCAAATTAAATACATATTGGCTGGTTTGAGCCATTGTCCTCCTAATAGGAGTAAAGAATCAGTCTTCTGTCATAGCTCAGGACATTTTGTGAGTTCTACTGTTGTGTGCGATCACAACAAAGCAAATAAAATAACATTTGCATTTCTGCCTGCCAAAACCTCCCAAAAATCTGAAGCTCTGTCACCCGAGTCGCTCCGTGAGTAAATTCAGCAGGACAAACCGACTCGCTCTCACATACTGTCACTCTGGTTTTAGACTAATCCCAGCAGCCTAAAGGACAGCTTGACATTTATATGCTTTGTCATGATTGCTTCTCTAAATACTCAGTCATGTTTCAGGCTCATTTTTAAGTTAAACTGTGATTAATAAAACACTAGCCTGCTGCATGAAGCCTCAACGTCAGGACGAAACCACACAGTGTTTTTTTGACAGACCCACAATACCCGCATGCTGTCAGAGTGTAGGACACAATTCGGGCAGAGAGGCTATGTTGGGCGACATGATGCAGCACACTAATTAGTAACTGCATGACTTGTGTTCTCTCGTGTTTTGTATTTGGCAGTATCGCAGTTCAGCGGCTGGCAAATGAATCACGCTTCATTCTCTATGAATTCTGGGAGCACAACAACGTGTGGAAGAAGTAAGTATTCGCCTGTGACAATGTAGTTGTTAATTGAATGTACGTTTTAACATGGAATTTTTATACATATTGTTGTGTCACATCATGTATATTTATCAAAATGAATGATTCTACTTAATTTTCCCAGTTCTATATATAGAACTGGGAAAATTAAGTAGAATGGAGTGTCTTTTTTTATATATATATAAAAAAAGACACTCCTTGACCCATCCCTTCCCAAACAAACAGCTTACAATCAAGCATTCCCAGTGTCAAATCACATAGCTAAATGTAATATAAAAGCACAGCGTGGGAAAGCACATGTATAACAAGATCATTTTGTTTGGTTAAAATCACAAATCACAAATTTCCGCCACAGTCTGAAGAACCGTGAAGGCAAATATTGAGGCGACAGCTGTTTTTCCTTAACTGCTCAACTGAAGTCCAGCTGTTGTCACAAATGCAAAAGACTGTATAAGAAAGATTAAACCAGATAAGCGAAGGAAAGCCACTGGCTGTAGCAACAATAAGCATGGAGGAGATTTAAGTAAAGTAGAATCAAAACACCTAACACACTGGATCTGAAGTGGAGCTTCTAGGGACTTGATATTTATGAGCTCGACCGAGTGGTTAACTTGATAAAATCATATATCATGAAAGTTGGTGATAGAATTCTGCCTTAGGAAGTGAGGCCAGAGCAGAAATGCCTGCATCAACTTGATTTATTTCTAATGACCACCAGGGGGCGTTGTCTATAGCGGTCTGATTGTATAGAGGTTTCTTACATGTGCACATTGTTGTTCACATTATTGGACATTATACAACCAGATAGTAAAACACAAACCAGAAACAGATTGTTGTCCTTCAAACTAAAAGTTTTGTGTCATATTTCGAAAGGACAACTTTTACTTTTTAGGCAACAGTCCATTTCCAGTTTGTGTTGCACTTTTCACAGTTTCACTACCACCTGGAAACTGTTTCCAGACAAGCTGGTATGTCTCGTGCAAACTACCGGTGATTGCAGCAACTTGATAGTGACCAAAACAATCATAAACCAACGGGTGAAGGAATACACATTTCTCCCTAGCAACCAGTGGTTGCCAGGTCTCTAGGCGAGCGTGACTGATGCCTTATTCACTTGACCCAATCATGTAGTTTGTGGTTATGTATCCACAAAACTTCAATAGATGTCTGTAAGAAAATCACCCCACTGCTCACTTGATTACCTCAGTAAACACTTTCCTAGTTTCTGATCTCAGTTGTTAGTCTCTCTGTTTTTTTTATTGCAGATTGTTCAGCTTTTTCATTTTCTAACTTATGGACACATTTCCATTGCTGGAAAAACAATCCACTTTTATGGATTTTATAAATAAACCTTTATGACTGTTTATGTCTAAATTTTATTTTACCATGTTTGTTATATATACATATATTTTTTTAATTTTTTTTTATGCTATTGTTCACATGTTGTCTATGGATGTACTGCCATGAACACTTAGCCAATGAGAAGTGTTCAGCTCTGCAAGTCCTGCCCCTAAAGATCATAAACTTTCAGGAAGTGAATCAGGTTGAGCACATTTTAAGGAATTGTTGGTATGGCAGTTTTTTTTGTTGCTTTTGTGTACATGTTTACATATTTCTGTTTTTGTTTTTTTGTTTAAAGAATTTTAATTTATTGACTTTTAATAGCAAATAATTTGGAAAACTAGTGTTACGCAAACAGCTGAACTCAAAATCAATATGAGAATTATTCATTTATTTACTAGAAAGAAATTATGTAGAAAACCTGCTGTGACCCGGATTTGAACCGGGGTTGCTGCGGCCACAATGCAGAGTACTAACCACTATACGATCGCGGCCGCTCTGACCTGAAACCATCTTTGAGTTTTCTCTTTTCTGCTCTTCAGTCACCTACAGACCAACTACAGTAAAACCTTCCAGAGGGGGAACGTGGACTTCCTGGAAACTCCTGAGACCATTACCACCATGTTGGTTCCTGGTAAGAACATCCATAGCATCAACAGTGAACTGTGTGACATCAACAGGAAAAAGATTAAGACTGATTCAGGCAGCTTTTACTGGGGCTGCTGTTAATCATAAAAAGAATCCTCTCCAGGCAAACAATCGATTTTTTAAAATTCAAATCAGGGCTCTGCAGTGTTTGAAGTTATTCAAAGGTCATGCTGAGAGATCTCTGCTTTGAGATTTCACCCGACAAATGTGATTAAGCATCAGAGAAATGAGATTGGTTAAGAGCTTGACACTGGGAAATCAACAACGACTCAGTCTACTTGTCTGCACAGTTAACAGTGACTTTTCTTGGTTAAATGTGGCACAATTTGCTCTCCTGGAATAATGTAATTGTTAATATTTTAGCATGTGTTTTTTATGGTTATTTTGTGTTTTTTTTCTCTTCTCTTTTCTAATTCTACTTTTAAAAGTGTCACTTTCAGCATCTGGTCAGTTATTTTTGTTTTGTGTTTCCACTGCAGCCTCCTGGTGGGTCCTCAACAACAACTGAACGTGGACACACACTTCTCTTTACTGATGGGTGCAAACAAACAGCAACTGGCCAACACATCTGGAAGTCCACAGCAAGAGCAACAATGCTGCCCTACCCCTGACACACGCACACACACGCACACACACACACACACACGATGAACACATTTTGTGAAGTCATGGTGATTAGTATCTATTTTATGACCTCCATGTTCCTTCATAGTTTGGTGGTAGCTCAAATAGCCCATGCGTGTTTGTTTATGTTCCTCGGCCATCCTAAAAGCAACAACCTCAGTAGACAGCGATCAATCTGATTATCTCATCGCAGTGTTTGACATGACATCATCTATAGTCCAGAGTAGTTCATGAGAGAGGTGTGTGTGTTTGTATAGGTTAATTTGTGAGGACCAGCGTGTAAAGTTTTTGTCCCCATTGTTGGTTTTAGGGTTCAGTTGATTTGGGGCTGGGAAGTCTGTTAAAGAATGTCCTCACAGATAGCCATACAAGTATATAGGTGTGTGTGTGTGTGTGTGTGTGACGTGTGTGTGAGACGAGTGTGTGACGTGTGTGTATGCATCTGTGTGAGTGACTGAGAGCGACTAATTGATGAAATTGTATCAACTGTAGCAGCTCTGGAGAGCTCATTAAACCATAATACTGTTGTTTCAGCATTTATTGAGTTAAAATGAGATAAAAGCATTAAATAAAGACGATATTATTGTGTATTTGTGGGCTTCTTTTTCTCATTCTGTGAGTGGAAATGATTTCATCTCTCTCTTGGTGTTTGTTTCATATTTGTTTCTCGTCACAATATCTTAAATATGACAAATCAGCCTTTTTCTTTGTTTATATTTTATGATTATGATTATTAAAATAAAATTATTTTTATGATTACGTAAAAGTGATATTTCATGCACAAGCGTCAATTGGGAGCCTTATTTAATATCTACATTAATTTACTTAAAAAATAAAACAGGGTCATGTGAATAAGACCAAAGCAAACACATTTAAAGCCTAACACATTCTGACTGAAGCCTTGCATTTTATATCCATATATATACTTAGCTAAGCAAACTGCACCACTGTGTGGACAGATAGCAGTACTGAAGCTAGGAGCCACTGCTACTAATTCTTTTTCTTTCACACCCAAACAGGAAAAGCAACATTAATCACATGACATGAAACAAAACAAAATAACAATAATAATATCAATAGAAAATTTCTGCAAGAGTAGACAAAAATCAACTTAATGATTTTTGTTAAAACTACATTGAAATATTTTGAAAATGCCAAAATGTTGTTTGTTTGATGTTGTTCACTTGTTTATGTTTTAGTGCTGGAGAAATTTATGGGACTGAGGTCAGAGATAGTGTGTTATGATCTTTTAAACAGGTGCAGGAATCTCTTCCACAAAAATCTCCTTTTAGGTTTTTTTCTGCACTTCCATAATTTGCTACTGACTGCGAATTAATCACTGTCTACTGCGAATCTGTGTGTAATGCGATCTGTACTTACACCAACGCTTTAATGCTCAGAAATCAGAACTGTTGACCTTGGGCAATTTCCTAAGAATATGTATCATTAATTTCACCACAATGTTTAGGCCAACTAATCACACAGTTTCTCTGGACAAGGTTCCAAGGATTGAAATGTGTCCAATCAGCATGGTTTCGTAAAGGAGATTGGTAGTAGCTGCTCCACTATCGGAACAGTATGACCTTCAGCACATAATGAACACCACACTCACTTAAAAAATAAATGTATTAAAACAATTTTAAACAACAACCCTTTTCTTTTAGTGTCTTTCCACTCAGTGTTTCCAAAAAAAAACACTGAGTCCAAAAAAGACACGTGAGCTCAAGGAAAGGTAAAGTGCATCTTCTGAGCCCATCAATTTGTTCCTACCAAGCTGTTGGAACAGTGTAGTATCCAGTAACAGCATCCAGCTACCAGAAGCATCCAGCTAGCAGCAACAACCATCTACCAGGAAGGATGGTTCAGTGGAGTCATCAGATGAGGATTTTCCTAAAGTGGTTCATCCAGCAGGAACAGACTACCACAGGAAAGAAAAAACAGCCTACACACAAGTGTGCAGGGAAATTAACCAAAGCATATTCATGACTTCCAGTACCACTAAGTCAGTGTCATTCGGCTCAGCTTCAAGTGCGTACCACTACATGACTTCTCTCTCTAATAACACATTAAACCATCAGTTTCAAGTACAAATATCTCGTAAACGTATCCATGGCGACTCATGTTAAATGTACCCAAGTTTCCAGCTGGCTGGGCACACGAAAACAGCATGCTCCTCATCAGATCGACAGGAGGAAAATAAAATTCTACAGCTGCTGGACAGGCGGCTGCTATGCTCATGGCACTGTGCTGCATTCAATGACTGCCAAATTATCAGAAATCTCATATTTCAGAAAATAACCTGGGTTACATGTGCATTTTTTCTCTACTCCTTGATGGACTCCTTTATTTGTCTAAGAGGTCCTTACAAGGAGAACTTTTCCTCTTGCTGTTTGGATTTTTGAGTCTCCAGATCTTCCTGGGCCTTGATCACTCCTACTTTCAAACTTAAACTTGCCTCTCTCTGTTTAGCCAGGAGATGTAACGTATCCTCTTTCCGTTGGCGTTTCTTTTCTTCAAGTTTGGTTTGAATTTGGGACAACTCTGCTGCACTAAGAACTACTCGGTTTGGGTTTTCTTTTCTCTCTCAACGGTGAGAGCTTCTTTCAGTTGCTCAATTTTTATTGAGGCATGTGTGTACATACTCTCTTTGTTATAAACCTCTACAGGAAGGACTGACCTTGCTTTTTCTGCCTCTACTTTTGCAGTTTCAAGTAGTGCTTTCAATTGCTCTTTGTCCTTTAGCAAGTCAGTCTTTTCTGCCTCTCTGGCTACGTTCACATGGATATTTTTGAAAACAGAGAATTTCCCTTTTCGTTTGTTTTAAAAAAAAAAAATCCCGTCCAGCCGTGCAGTTTTGAAAAAATATCTCCGTCCACATGTAAACCCCAAAAACAAACTCAAACGCTGTCAAGAACATGCCAAATCCTAACTGTGGAGAAATGTTGGCCAATCAGAAGTCTAGAAGCCTGGGAGGGAAAGAGTACATCATTTTGGCTGATGTAGACTCACAACTTAAGAATGGACTAAATGCATACAGCTTGCTTGTGAAAGCGTCTGTGTTGAATGTAGAAACCACGTCACTCTGACGTCTCTGACTTTTTAAATGGAGGGGCAGCAACTGGGTTTGAATATGTAAGCATGTAAAAACTGCAGATAGTAAGATTAACAGCAACAGTATTTTGTCTATATCCCCCATTGTAGAAATTAATCTCACGTAAACAATCATGCGTGCACAGCGTGACGTCAAAAAAGGCACACACCTTTGAGGTTGCATGACTAAATCTCAGTTTTCCTCATCTACACCTAAACGCTAAAAGAAGTTTTCAAAAATCTCCACCCTGTTTGGAACCCCATGTTCCTCCACAATTATTCTTCGTTACAACCTGCTCCCTATCTCTACACGTCAGAAGGAAACTGAAATATGCCACCTACTCTAATACTTTCTCACAGCCATCACGACTGTGTCACGCTCCCGCAAACACGCCCCCCCTACACTTTATGTGTAGCCCTGCTGCTCCAGTTTATCTGCTGATGGGTTATTGACAACTCATTCAATTAAGGTAAATACAACCACATCTTATGAAAAAGACACCCAGCTTATCATCTTATAGTTCTACAACACCTAAAATCACTCTGTTGTCAATTCATTTCCTAGATTAGCTGCTAGCATACAG